AGAGAGAAGGTTAATTGAGTAAGTATGAGGATTGTTCTACTGTTTGGCGATGGCTGGCCTACTCTTGGCATGATGGGGCGAATTCTCCTCTCCATTGCTTATGGTGGTTATTTTGGGATGAGAGTTTCTACTTAGGAAGTTGAAAGCCAGGGTATGTTGTTTTTGAATTTACTGTAAATATCAAGTTAATATAAGGAAGTGGGTGATGGGGCTTTCCTTGGAGTGTTTATTTTTATTAGGTCATGGATTAGTTGATTCCATGTCTTTTTTCTTATGTTTATTTTTCTCAGGTAATTTCTCCAGCACCTGTTGTTACTTTATTGGACATTTTCATTTTTATTTTCATAGTCGTATCTAACTATATAGTAGTTTTCTTACTGTCTCCGAGTTTAGATGAGGAATATTGAGGCTTTCCAAGACCACAGAGCTGAGAAATGACATAGTCTAAAATTGAACGAGGCCGATTGTGTGGGAGATATTGTGTGAGTGATGAGTTTAGTCTTTGCTTCAGGTTGTTCACACAAATTTCATAAGGAAATATTTGGTATCTGTAATAAAGTACATAATATATAATTTTGCTATTCCTGTTCATTGGAGGTCAACAATTTGTGTTTATGTACTTTCTCAGTCCATTATTCATATTTATTTTTTCTGTCTATGTTTACATCTGCAACGTCTTCGTGGTCAGGAGTTTGAGTAGTGTGTAGGATAATAGCTACATAACTAAGAATTGTTGAGTTTCATTCTGTGTCTAATTCTCTGTATATTTGTGTCCCACTATAGTATTCAAGCTATGGAACAGTTGGAAATGTAAGATTTTCTCCTTAGCAAAGGTAGTAGGATTTGATACCACTAACACATCTCTCAACAGCAGACTCATGGAGAGATCGTAGTGTTTCTCCATTTAATTCAGGTTTGCTTTTAGTTACGTTATTAAGAATTAAGAATTAATGCACTCACCAATCGTTTCCTTGTGAGAAAAAATACAAATGGCTTTTTGGATTCTGTATATTTAAAGTGCTTGAAAGTGAGGTTATTTTGCCTAATTTACAGATATTATTATTTGAAAGGAGTATCAGTCACACACCAAGTAGCACAATAAAATTAACTTTTCTTTTCTGCCTTTATTCATTCATTCACATTCTTTTATTTGACAAATATTTGCTGAACTTACTATGTGTAGGTGCAGTGTTTTTTTTAACCTTAAAATCTAGCAGCAGCTATGATGCAGAGAGCTACAATGCTCCTGCACAGAGAGTAAAGATCAGTGTTCACCAAGAGAAAAGCGATTTGGAATTCTAGCCAGAGAGGGAAGAGGCTTTGTGAGAGAGCTGGCATTTGCAAAGTCCTTAGGGAAGGAGAGGGTGACAGGTTAAGGATGGCAAAGGGACCAATGACAGGGCAGGAGAGGTACTCAGTACAAAGGATGGCAGACATCCAGGAACACAGTGAAACCATAATGAAGGTATGACTTAAAAAAAAAAAGCAGGCTACAGACCGTGAGGGGATTTGAACGTGTGTTAAGGAGTTTAAGCTTTACTACCCCAGTGCTTGCAAAGTGACATCTGCAGTCCAATACTGTGTTTCCCTGAAAATAAACTACCCTAAATAAGCCCTAGCAGGATTTCTAAGCATTTGTGCAATATAAGCCCTACCCAAAATAAGACCTAGTGATGGGCGGGCAAGCAGCGCATCTGCACAACCCGTGCATTTCCTTGCGGAGCGGTAAAGGAGACGAGCAGCCTTTCATTGCCCATCGGGACAGCTACTATCCCAGAGGTGACTGGAAAGGTGGGGCAGCCCACAACAAGGTCGGCTCCCCTGTCAGGTCCCGGGCATCCTTGGTGCTGCAAGCTGAGGCTTTGAGGGGAAAATAACACATCCCTGAAAATACCTAGGGTGTCTTCTTGAGAAAAATAAATATAAGACCTGTCTTATTTTGAGGAAACAGTAGCATCAGCCTCACCTGGGGCCAATCCAAGACCTACGGAATCGAAACCTCTGGTGTTGGGCTCAGCCACCTGTTGGTCGAGGAACCTCCTTGTGGTGCTGATGGGTGCTGAAGCTGAGAACCAGTGCTGTGGCCAGTCTTCTAGACTGGTAGTATGTTGTGAAGTATTGAATTCCAGTCCTCTAGGGTGGCTGCGGCCTGTGGGCTGGAGGCCTTGGATGACTGTCGCTGGCCAAGCAGCTCCTTTCTTCTCTGGGCA